TGTCAGTTGTTGCGTTAATGTCCTGTCGTGTTCGTGTCGCATGTGGTCCAGAGGTCCCCCGTCACGTAAGTGTATTGTCAGACGTCGTGAGAGTGTCGTTGTGGTCACACCAATGTAGTGTAAGGAACAAGGTTTGCAGCCTTCGATGTTGCATTTGAATTGATGCACTATATTTCAGTTTACCGGGTTTGTCTGGGCTGTTTCTCATAAGAAAGTTGGAGATTTTCTTAGTACGATAATAAATGACGATGTCTATTTTGAGGTCTTTCTTGCCTTTGACATGTCGAGGGATAATTTCCCGTAGATCTGTTTCGTCTTGTTTGTGGGCAGATGTTGTTTGATTCTGATGATATAGTTTGGCAGTTGGTTAGATGTCTTGCCTTGGTTTGCTATCAAAGGGTCTTGTCATATGTCGTTGTATTTCGTTTTCAACGTCAGAATTTGAAAAACCGTTGTTCACCAAGATCTGTCTGATTCTTTTGAATTGTAAATGTAGTTTTGTCCAATCAGAGCAGTGCTTAAATTCACATCTAAGGAATGACCTTATCGCGCTCATTTTGTAGCGTCGGGGACACTCACCGTCAGCATTTAAGCACCGCCCATTGCTAGTCTGTTTCCGGTATACAGTCGTTCTAAATTGTTGTCTCTGTCCATCAACAGTCACGTCAAGAAAGGGTATTATGTTTTACACACTACGTTCTTTTGTGAATTTTAAACCAAACCGTTCTTCAAATGTGTTTTTGAGACGTTATAGTTGGTCAATGTCCCTAACTTGCATAGAGATATCGTCTACATAGCGACAACAAATGTCCGGTCCTATGTCGTCACTTTTTAGTGTGTCGGCTTCTACATGTCCCATAAAGAAACTAGCAAATGAAGGTACCGGAGGTGGGCCCATCCCATCACCCTCAATTTGGCAAGAAATAAGTTTTGAAGTTTTTCTTGTGCCACTCAGTCTTTTCCGACGGCGAGAAAGCATCTCGAAACGTTTGAATGGGAAGAGCGGCGAATATATGAGTAAATTTGTGCGAACCATCTTTAATCTAAATGATAATGCCAGGTCAAAAGCCCGGTAACTAGAACGATGTGTCAAAAAGCTCATCAATGCTGAGTCAGCTGTTACTTTTAATCGAACAGCTATAAAAGAAATGATTCTGCCAAAAAATTCCAACGTAAAGGTACACGACCAGACAGTTAAGAAGAGGGTATTACCAAAAGGTATAGAGAACGACTTGTGAATCATCAACTGCAGCAAAAAAAAAACGACCTGTGAAATCCTGAAGAAAAAGAGAAAAGTTTTAGAAGAGCTACAGGTATGTTGCCGTGAACATGAAAAAGTACTTGACGAATTTGACGTGATTTAATGTGATGCTAGATGTCTTTCTATGAACAGAATCTTGAAAAATAACTTTCAAGGCTCCATACTGGACATCTGGTATAACAGGAAACTGCGGATGATTAAGTCAACTTATCTCACCATGACTTTACCGAGGGAAAAAGGGATGCTTACTCTTGGTCTTGATTGTCATATTTTGTCAAAATATGATAAACTTAGGAAGAAAGTAGAACTCGAAATTCTTTATCAAGATATCTTGAATTTGGAAAAAGAAGACAAGGTTATCGTAGGCAAGGATCTAAAGAACAGTTTACTGGGAGAGAGCACGAAAAGGTGTGGAAATGACAGGAGCAAAATGTTCACGCAAGAACTCAGGACGGCGGCAAAGAAACTTCGAGAACAGGATACCATCATTCGGTGAGCGGACAAATCATCGCTCCACGTAATACTTGGCAAAAAGGAGTATCATGAGAATCTAACTGCATCTTGAACGACGACAACAAGTTCTGGCACATCACAAAAGACTCATCAGACAAACTCAAGACTAAGCCTAACAAACTAATCACTGCTGCCAATGCTGCTGTTGATGATATAAACATATAATGATGGCATAAACATATGATGGCTGATGTTGATGGCAAAAACATACACTTTTTCAAGATAGCAGGTGAATTTGCGCGTGGTTGTGCTTATGGGTCTATAACAACTCACGAAAATGGTAAACCCCTTCGTCCAATAATTTCACAGATCCCTTCACCAACCTATAGAATTGCAAAACGTCTTAATGGTTTTCTGTCCCCATATCTTCCAATGTCCTACAGCTTATCGTCAAGGGATGAGTTTATCGATATACTGTTATCTCGTCAGCCTAGGGATCTACTAGCCTCTCTAGATGTTGAAAATCCATTTACAGGCGGTCCCACGAAGAGAATCATATCCATCATCCTTGACTTCGTGTATAATCATCCCGAAATCCCTCTTCTCAAAATATCAAAGCGCCTTCTTGAACAATTACTAAAAGCCTGTACGTTGGAATTTCCTTTCCGCAGGCCTGATGGACGAATGTATTGCCAAATTGAGGGTGTTGCGATGGGCTCACCGCTGGGACATTTATTCGCTAGTTTCTTTATGGAACATGCAGAAACCAACACACTACAAAATGACGACATAGGATCGAACGTTTATTGTCGCTATGTAGACGATGTCTTTGTTAGTCAGAGACATTGACCAACTAGAACGTCCCAAAAACACATTTAAAGAGCAATCTGGTTCAAAATTCACAAAAGAATGAAGTGTGCATAACATAATACCCTTTCTTGACTTGACTACTGATGGATTAGGACAGCGATTTAAAACGACGGTATGCCAAAAGCAGACTAATAACGGACGGTGCTTAAATGCTGATAGTGAGTGTCCCCGACGCTACAAAATGAGCGTGATAAGGTCATTCATTAGATGTGCATTAAAGTGTTGCTCTGATTGGATAGGTGTTGCGTGCACAATGGTTGAGTCTGCGTGTTCGGTAGATGGCACCCGAACAGGGACGGTAGATAGTGCAGCGACAAGGACTACCGGCAAGTGGCGCCGCCTCGCTGTGCGGCCGCTAGTGTAGTTAGCAGTGAACCCTTCGGGGTCAGGTGACGTGGCGAGTAGCGCGTGGTTTGACTTGCACCGCTGAAAGCCGCCTGTTTCGGCAACGGCGATAGTAGGAATAACTTTGGTAAAAGAGCTATTTTTACTTTTTATCGAGCTTTTCTGGCTTTAACATGTAACACTCGTAGCACAAAAGCTAGCTGTGCAATGCATGCTGGGTAAATCTACGTTAGGTCAAACTTAGACATATGTGGGACGTCGTTTGAGTGCTTATATGTTTTCGGTGTTAGCGTAGTTCGTCTAGTTCAAAATGCATTGGGATGATTTATCATCCGTTGTGCAAAGTGATATATATATATATATATATATATATATATATATATATATATATATATATCTATATATCGATAACTTTGCTCTCACTTCTGGATGTGTTGTATTCTGGCCCCGTATGCCAGGGTGCTTACTTCACTAGATGACAGTGTTTTGTTTGTTTCAGAAACAAAAACAAAAACAGCATGTAAGAAAAAACACAAACGTCTCAAAGTCCTTAAGTCCGCCGTCCGTAACAACAAAACTACATGCAGAATTGAAAGGAATCAGACAGATCTTGGGGAACAACGGTTTTTCACATTCTGACGTTGAAAACGAAATACAACGACATATGACAAGGCCCTTTGATAGCAAACCAAGGCAAGACATCTAACCAACCGCCAAACTATATCATCAGAATCAAATAACATCTGCCCACAAACAAGACGAAACAGATCTATGGGAAATTATCCCTCGACATGTCAAAGGCAAGAAGGACCACAAAATAGACATCGTCATTTATTATCGTACTAAGAAAATCTCCAACTTTCTTGTGAGAAACAGCCCAGACAAACCCGGTAAACTGAAATATAGTACATCAATTCAAATGCAACATCGAAGGCTACATACTTTGTTCCATACACTACATTGGTGTGACCACAACGACACTCTCACGACGACTGACAATGCACTTACGTGACGGGGGACCTCTGGACCACATGCGACACGAACACGACAGGACATTAACGCAACAACTGACAGACAACACTAATATTTTACGGGCGTGCAATGACAGAAGACGCGTTCAAATTTTGGAAAGTATATTCATTAGCGAACTGTCTCCAGCCATACATACAGCCAAACATGCGAACAAATTTTGGTGCAACCCTTGAGCTATTAGGTGTTGAGAGGTGAACACTATTGACGTGAGTGTGACAATAATGTCCCCATGGTGTCTTTGTAGTGTTCCCATTATGACTGTATTTTGTTTGTAAAAAAGTGAAAATAGGATTCTGTCTTATTTCAATAAGCCATGCATCAGTTGTGTTCTCCGTACCAATAGATGTTTTCCGATAGTAGTGCACAATTTTTTATCCTGCAAAACTGAAAACTCATTTCTTGTGCCATTCAGTGTTCTCCGACGATGGGATGGGATCTCGAAACGCTACAAGAGCTACAAGCTACTGTAAAGAGGGACGAATATGTAAGTATAACTTAATAACTATAACCGTCTTAAACATAAACCATAATGCAGAGTTAAAATCTCAGAAACTTGAGCGATGTGTCAAAAAGCTCGTCAATGCGGAGCCAGCAGTTATTTTTAATCGAACGCGCATAACGGAGAGAATTGTGCCAAAATATTCATATATATATATATATCTATATATATACATATACTCCCGGCAGCAAAGCTCAGGCTGCGTCCTTGATGATCACCGTCCTCCAACTGGATAGGAAACTACACCCTTGTTTCATATGGCGAGCGAAAAATGCAATACCAGCACGAACATAGCGGAGAAGGTAATCCCAAGCATTCTCCCAGATCTGGCAGCACCTGTTCCAAAAGAAATAGTACAAGGGAGTGACAATGCCGGAATGTAGGCAGCAGATAGTACAATAAATGGTAATTTTGTAACATAATTTTTTTATAAATAGCAAGGAAATAAATTATTCCCCGTTTTGTTACGAACGTGAACCTTGTTGACATGCGTCTGTTTGGGACCGCACGCGCATTGGGCGTCGACGTGGGCGTTGTCGCTACTCGTCAGAGCTGATTTGGGCACGGTTGTTTGCGCTCGGTTGCGTTGGTGCGAGGCACATACAGATAGCCTACAAGCGCGGGCAATTGGCCTATCTGTATTTTTCCTCAGACTCTTAGCAGTTGTGCTGCACCCGGCTGAAGCCGCTGGGCTACTGGTACTGGTCATTTCATTGATTTTGCAAGGTAAGTACGCTACACTGCGCTGGTCTCGGCATTGTTCGCTTAAATCATTACCATGCTTTTTATTCTGTTCAAATAAGTAGCCTTCTTAAAATACATCATGGGTATTGACAGTGCTGCTGAGCAGCAATGATCAACTAAGTGTGCAGCAATGATCAACTAGAAACTCAGCTATGGCTTTTGCATCGCTCCATAGATGAGTATATAATGCATTGTTGAGCCAGACTGCAGAAGGTGGTGGACCATTCCAGATCTTGGGAGGAGGTGTGATCCTGCCCCATATGGTACAGCAAACTCCTGTTTGGCATGGGGACTGATGATTTGAGACATGGATGGGGGTCTCCAACATTCTCATAACAATCTAATTTGCATGTACTGACAACCAATTACATTTACCGCACCACTCAAGATGGGTCAGGATCACACTGAGCTTACCATCCAATGTTTCAGAGCTTTGCATTATGTATTGATGTTATCTAGGTTACAGCATACAAACATGCATCAAACATTTCTTAAGTTTTGATCCTTATGTTTTAATGGTATCAGCAGCTGTTATCAAGTGTTAAGCATGCAGTTGTTTTGCTGCCATTTTACCTGTTCAGTGCAAGCAGCGGAAGCTGGTACCAGCAACATGCTGCTTATTTTTGACTTGAACAATGTTTTTGGCCTGTTTTGCAATATTAATTATTTGGCATGCCCTAAAATTCCAATCAACAACATCAACATTAATTATTCAAGCTTTTTGATTTAAGTGGTGGCTCTCCAGCCACATAGCAATTGCAGGAGTAGCTGGCTCCAGAAACAGACAGGACAAGTTGACAGTGATAATGAATAGTATGATGCAGCTAAGAAAAATATACTGCATTTGGCATTTTGGGCTCTGTATGCTTTTTCAATTCTAATCATTTGTTTTACTGCAGTGTGTGTTCATGTTCCACCTTTCCAAATGGATTATGTGCTTATTTTTGCTAGTGAAAACCACAGACAACATTGATTTCTTGAAATATTGGGCATGCAAGCCTAGCTGCATGCAACCAATGGTGAAATCTAGCCCTATGTGTGGCATCTGCCACATAGAGCCTTTGAACCAGAGTGGATGGCACTTCTAGAGAATTTAATTCGCTCTGTGCTGCTGTGATAATAACAGTGTGGGTCAGTGTGGGTTTTTGCGATGAAGTTTAAAGCTTCAACTTAAAACTGTGGGACAGCCTTAAACTGAAGCATGTAATCCTAAACTTAAACTGTAAGGACCATATCTAGACACCTTACATGTGATTCCCATATAGTCTTATTCAAGTTTTTCCAGAATAACATTCTAACAATGGCATGCAGCAAAATTTGGATAACTGTAGATAAGTGATAGTTGATCTTTGAGTGTTAAATGTTAGATATGCCTCTTACAGTCACTGATCCATAGCAGATCACAGGCAAGTCATGCTTGTCAACAAAGCTAAATCTAAGGAAATCTCAAGTTGATAGAACACCTGAGTGCTTCCCAGTCATACAGCTTTTGAGTGGTTTCTTAAACAATTTAACAACATAAATTAAGGTAAAGAACTTGTCCTTTTGACCAGGGATCAGGTATAAAGGTCAGATGAAGATCAAAATAACACAGATCTCTTACTTGACGCTTTGATTGTGAGGGTTAGTTTTTCACACTCATTTTGAATTTCCTGACCACATGAATGAGATCTCTTGTTCTGACTTTGTTGAGGTCAGAAAAGGTCACTGATTTAGGCCTTATCCTGATGGGGATGGGAGAGGATTGGTGCAGTCCCCAAAGGTTTTTTAGGACATTTCTCTGGCATGTGGTTCTATCACTTCCCAAATTTGCAGTAGCCTATGAGGCGACCATTATGGGTGCTTTGACACAAGAAAGGTGTTCCTAGCATCTCTTGTTTTGGGGCAGTGGCGATTTTTGATGAATACTGCACGGCGATCTACGGCCTGGGCGAGCGGGTGGGCAGTAACCGATGATGCCGCGGAACGCGCGCCACGCCCGACATTGTTACATTAACGGAGCTTTATATCATAAATGTATGTTAAAAATGCTTAAAGATATACATCATTGTTCAAAGAATGAGCAAGAAATGCTCCTGTGTATATTTTGTGTCGCCAAAATGCCATCCAAACTTTGCTGCACCTGTTGTTAGAATACTATTCTGAAGGTAAAATATTATGCTAAAAGTACGTTTTTCTGCAAAATTCGACATTTGATCTGTCTTTACGTCGTCAGCTGTTGCCCGAACAGCATAAAACCAGTACTAATCGCGCGGTCGAGACCAATCTTCTGATGTTTTATGCTAAACTCTATCCATACAAACCTGGAAACCCCGGGAGACGTCTCGCATTTTGGCATCGCACCCCCTCCCAGCATGCGTATGACAAACGGTGAATCAGGGCGAGGATTAAAATGACCACAACGAGCCTTTCATTTTAAATGTAATGTTCCCTATATGAAGATATTGAAGCAAGTATCAGATATGATGAGACAAGCTCGCTTATAAATATTGTTGTACTTTAAAGTGCAAAGACTGCTGTAGACGACGCGATTTCTCTGTTTAGTGCATATGCTCCTCAGTGCGTCATTGTTTGGATTACGTCATTGTACCCCGCACGACATTGATTAAGGGCAATTAACTGCCATTATATTCTAGTCAACGGCCGCTCACGAACGCCAGATATGGACGGCTCGACACGCATATTTGTCTTGGCCTTAACCCTTGCATGGCTAATGGAACAACAGGATTTAAATGGCGTTTATGTGGCGTCACGGGTGCCTGGGTAGTCTACACATCTCCGTGGGTGTGTAGCTCAAAAACTAGAGGAGCTTAGGTCTTAAGAAGTGCAGGGCTGTGGTCTGCACCGAGTGATCTTCGTGGTGGCTTTTTCAGTTCAAAACCCGACATGAATGTGAAAAACTCCCGTTAAGGAACAAGATGTCTAGGGTAATTCATGACACTGAGGGTTTCTGTTCAGGGAGGGTTTCTGTTTATCCTGATTTTCTATTGGTCATATAATGTCTAAGCTGGTTGTGTGGTTTAGGTCGGTTGGTTGTGTGGTTGTGTAGTTTAAGGTTTAAGTTGGTTGTGTGTGTGTGGGGGGGGGGGGGGGCAGTCATGGGGACGAAACTGCACTCAGCGTCAGCCTCAGCCTCAGCCTCAGCTTTGTGAAGCCAGAATTTTCCTCGAGTGTTTCGAGCTATGACACTGACTTTGAGTGTTTTTTTTTTCATTTGACGTTGGTTTTTGTTTCGCGTTTTCTGAGCGCGCGCCCGGGTGGGGGTGAAATTGAACCCCGAAGGTTTTTCCAGAATGGTTTCCGAACTTCCGAACGGCGCAGCCGCGCCAAATTTTGCAGAGCTGTAGACAATTGAATAGCGGATCGTTTGACGTAAAAATTTAGATGCATCTTGTAAGGTCGCTGACCTATGGCAGGTGAATGTCAGGTCATGGTTTCAGCGAACGCAATTTCTAGGAAATCGTCCAATCTGATACAATAATGAAGTGTTTGACGAAGCCATACGTCTCTGAGATGCTTTCTTAGGCGTCAAAAGTACTGAATGAGTAAATTACGTTGGCCTATGGTCATGTATGAAGGTCAGTCCAAGGTCAAAACCAACCTGATTTATTTTTCTAGGGTTGGCTGTATGGGATAGTTTGTGGTGCTCATTTGGAATTTATTGACAACGGGAACCGCATTATACATGTTCAGTTGACTTCTTACAGGTCAGAACAGGTCATTGACCCAAGATGACCCGGGTCGACACTTTGTTCTAGGAACATACTGCCTAGCGTAATCTTTGTCGCTTATTCAAATGCAAAACCCAGAGCAGTATTGTATGTTTTTGGTCACCATGACCTTCAAAAGGTCAAACCAGGTTACTGAACATAAATAGGCTGGTGACTTTTTGCTTAGAAACAGTTGCCTAGGTTTTTAGGGCACGTTAGAGACCAACATAAAATTTGACCTTGTTTCACTTTATTTGACCTGAAGGTCATGACCTAGGAAGCTCAAACTTTGACCTAAGTGAGTTCACGTACAGGTCAAGACACATAGTAAATTTGTTGTCTCTAGCCGTCTTAGTTGGTTGTGGCTCTAATGCATTTTTATACAGTGGATTTGGCTTCAGTTCCGGCTTCGAAAAAGTTTTGAATAATGGCTGCGGCTTCAGAAACTTGAAGCTCCCAATGAAACTTGAGCTGTCAATTCCTGCTTCTTCCTGGTTATTTTTCACATCATTCGCGGTTTTTCTTCACACAAGCGGCCATGCCTGTGCCCCCACCCCAATATGCAACACAGCTTTCCAGGGCTGCGACGCATACGTGACTAATAACCAAAGCCAGTCGGCCATTCTCAGGGCTCACACCTGAGGACGGCTGGAGAAATAACTGTCCGAAGCGTTGCGTATATGCTTACGCACAAGAGAAAGACAATATTCCAGAACAAATTCTTCATCCACCATGCTAACAGCTTCTCCCAATCATTCCGCGGGATTGTTATGATATCTCCCGATCCAATATCGCTGAAGCTCACGCCAGAATAGTTATTGTTCCGCAAAATAACGCTGAAGACAAGATAAGGGATCGACTTCAACCTCGCCTTAATTCGACCCGACTGGTTTCGCTTCGGCTTCATGTTTCCAGATTTTGAAGCTGCTGGCTTTGGCTTCGACTTTACGGGTAGAAAGCCCACACCCACTGACGTCGGATTCAGATTCGCGTTTTAAGAGTAAAGAACCATCAGTATCGCCTTCGACTTTGGCTTCGTGAAATTGCCTCGGCTTCAGATTCGAATTCTAAATGAGATGGCTGGATTCTTCCCCATACCTGTGAGGAGGTTTAAACTTGAAGTCACGCTAGACACCTATGTCGATTTTGATCTTGTTTGACCTTATTTGATATCAAGATCACGACCTAGAAACCTAAAAATGCAACATAGCTAATTTGTCATAGAGTCCTACCCGCCCTACCGATTTGTTCTCTTAAGCTCTCCTACGTTTCGAAATCACAAGTGGTCAAATTGCCCCCTCCCCGCCCGAGCACGTCAGATTGAACCCATTGTCCCGCGGGGTGTTCATGAAGGCGAAGCAAGGGGTTTAGGTCTGGTCAGATTGGAAAATGATGATAGTGACTGTTTAATATCAGTGTGTATTCTGACGCCTTACTGATCGGAAATGGCTGCGGCCCTTCCAAGGTGTGGTATGAATCTGGAGACCGAGTGATCAGAGTGGTTCGTGGCCAAACCACGGGTCTGCTGATCTGCTTTCGTGGCCAAGCCAGGGGTCTGCTGATCTGCTTTTGTGGCCAAACCAGGAGTCTATTGATCTGCTTTCCCCAAATGCCTGGTTCTCATCGATTTAGTTCACTTTATGTTCATGAACGGCAATATCTATTTTTTATTGTTTGCTTTCTGAGGAGTCCCGTTGTCCCTGCGTGACAGCTGGACTTGGGGTCCGTTGCAGAGCGCTAATCGGTGACTCACTGACACCATGGCTCGGGTCGTTGCGTGGGCCCGTCGCTCGTGACCCACGGTGGACTGTTGTCATGGGCCGGGGTGCTGACGAGAACCAGAGGATCCTGGAGCGGGGCGCGCGGGCCTCATGCGGCTCAATGTTGGGCCCGCGCTGACATGGTTGCGGGCCTTTGCAGCAGAAGTCGGCGTTGTCATGGCTGTCGGCACTGGTATCATGTCATAGGACGGTGTTATCATGCTATGCTGTAAGTTTCGTTGCTGCGGTACTGTTACAATCGTACAATACATTCGACACTAGCCAGCCACATCTCTTTAGTTTCGGGTGTCGGCGCGAGTTCCTGACATTGCGAGTGCGGGCGCCCGCCCAGCACCACGTTTGCTGCTTTTATCAGCTGCTGTTATCGTGTTGTATCAGTAATCCCAACCGGCGGATACGTGATGTTAACCAGTTGTATCAGTAATCCCAACCGGCGGATAGTTTTCGCTACATGACATCTTTCCGTCAGTCCAGACCAAGTAATTTTTTATTTCAGTCGAGCGCTAAAAAAATATTGCGGTGACGTGGCAAACAGAATGTGACCCAAACCCATTTGGAAGTATAAATTTGGGATAGTACACTACGGAGAAAAAGGCCGTCGGGAGCGCTGCGGGCTCTTGCGCGCGCGGCGTTCGCCAGGCGCGGCATTCCAGAATGTTTGCCATAGCTTACAGTTTGGCTGACTGTGCCTTTTTCGAGGCCAGAGCATACCTCAAGATAGTGCAGGTTTCATCAACGTCTGTTACAGTTCCAACTGTGACTAGCGACATCACTAATCATTTACCATTGGCCCAAGATATAATCCAAATGTTAAAACTCATCTAAAAGGGCTTGTCTGCCAAAATACAGTGTATTTTGTCGATTGTTTTTATTATGTGCTATTCGAGTTTCAGACTGCATCCAAGAGTCTTCTGAAGATATTGAAATTATTAGACTGAAAAACTATCTGGCCTTAGACAGGGTCTGTCAGCGATAAATGGAATATCTTCATTCGCATAAGTATTTATAGTCCCATGTGCACTCGTGGATTCATACATAAATGTCTGAAAAAAATGTATGGCTCGTTGGTTTCTTTACCCCCTTAGATTCTGAAGCTGGATATCACAAATCTGTGTCTCTCTGTGTCCCCAAACGGCTCTGGAGTTTTCTTTGAGTGGAAATTGTTAGGTTCGACAATTCCCCTAAACCAAGACCTTGTGGATCAGCTTGTTAACTCAATGGCCGCACAAAATGCAAGGTTATCTCAATGGCCGCGCAAAAAGCAAGGTTAACTGAGTGGCCGCACAAAAGGCAAGGTTAACTCAATGGCCGCACAAAAAGCAGGACCGATTGGGCAAGACTGCGTGATTCTTAAGACCACCGAAGCCAGGTGAGATCAGGGTGGCCCCTCGAGCCGGAGCGGCTTGAGACCGTTCTCCGACGGTAGCCAGCTGTCGTAATAGCGCCGTCGCGTCGAGGTGTACAAGGACGCCACGTCGAGCCGGCGCGACGCGAGACTGGATCACTGACGTGCCACGCGACGTCGTCTTCGCTCTCCTCTGTTGGACAAGGCGTTCACGTGTTTGGTTTCCAGTGGCACGTTAAAGATATCTCTTCAGCAAAATGGAGAGCATGATGGCCTCATTTTGTGTAGTGTCGTTCCGTATGCAGTTAAAGAGAAAATGTATTGACTGGCAACCATGGGGGTCTCGTCGTGAGGCACAGAGGCGTCGAACCGTTTCAAGAGGTTGGTGTGATTGGAAGACATTTTAAACCAGTTATTTCATGCGGTACTGTCGTGGCCATTTTACAGATGTACAGCGAGACGGTGTGCCGTCCCGGACGCCCTATTCATGCGGTACTGTCGTGGCCATTTTACAGATGTACAGCGAGACGGTGTGCCGTCCCGGACGCCCCATTCATGCGGTACTGTCGTGGCCATTTTACAGATGTACAGCGAGACGGTGTGCCGTCCCGGACGCCCCATTCATGCGGTACTGTCGTGGCCATTTTACAGATGTACAGCGAGACGGTGTGCCGTCCCGGACGCCCCATTCATGCGGTACTGTCGTGGCCATTTTACAGATGTACAGCGAGACGGTGTGCCGTCCCGGACGCCCCATTCATGCGGTACTGTCGTGGCCATTTTACAGATGTACAGCGAGACGGTGTGCCGTCCCGGACGCCCCATTCATGCGGTTGCGATGGGGTGCCCAGCTCATTTTCTGGGTGTTTCGGGACCGGCCGCGCCAGTCCCCAGCTAGGCAATATGAGAGCTGCTGGTGAAAGGCAGTTACACGAGGCATGTTGGGCCGTATCCTGCAAACAGGCCGCTATCGTAGCGGATTACTGAACCGGTCCGATCCATTGCAGGCCCAGCATGCCCGACTCAAAGGTTTTGCATTGTTTGCTTTCGTGGATAGATTTCGGATTATTATCCAGCCGCACAGCTGCCTGTCCTAGGTCCCGTCTGCACGCTCGGCCGCTGCTCGAGTTAACGACCAGCCGCCCGCCCCTCCCCTCTCCCCTGCACACCACAACCGGCGTCGGCATCAGGCCGGCGCCGTTTCCCGAGCTGCAGCACCAGTGAGTCACTGGACGCCATGCAGCCAGCTCTCCAGTACGCATCAGCTGGACATATTTCGAACCACTTCTGTACGAAACTGTCATAGAACACACGTGTGGTGCGGTGTTTGCCTTTCCGGTTCGATAGACCATCGGTCAATCCTGTAGTTCCCTTCCGTCTGCGCCCGCCGAAAGCGTTCCATGACTCGGTCCCAATGTATCCTGCTAGTTTGTCATAGCACCACCTTTGTCCAACATATGCCTATGTTTTCACACGGCTGCGGTCCCAATGTATCCTGCTAGTTTGTCATAGCACCACCTTTGTCCCACATATGCCTATGTTTTCACACGGCTGCCTGACTTCCGGCACGCAGCGGCCGCCCGCCCGCCAGAGGTCCGCAATCCGTATCAGGCCGCGACCTCAGCCAAACGGAGCGCTGACCTCAGATTTTAAGCAGTCCCTGCGCTCAGGGCGGCAGGACTGAACCCTATCGTGTGGTCAGATTTCAAGCAGCTGAACCCTGTCGCGTGATCAGAGTCAAGGTTCTCGTAAAGGTGTCTGATCTGGCCGCGTCACCCATCACAGGGGGGGGGGGGGGGGGGGGCGTTGTCACTAATAAACGGTCCCTGCGGACTGGGGAAATGCCACGGATAGGGGCTCGTGTTCTGGTATAGCTAGCCGTATATCCACTACGCATTTTTACGGAAAGAAATGAATGCTATTAGGTCTTGCAAAGCCAAAGAGCTGTCTCTGATGCCTCGCTCAGCGATTTTCATGACACAGGTTGGGTTTCCATGTTCCACGGTGATACCTGCCAGCTTTGGTTATACGTTGGTTTCAGAATAATAGTTCCCAAGGAAGCAGTTCACTTTGTACCGGCCAGTGTTATTTCAGAGTAAAAAAACCTTTGAGTTGTAACGATTTTAACCTACGTTCGGTTGCATACCGCTGTTTTGCGCTGTCTTCAAGTAACAATTCTTCCAGTATCAGACGAAAAAACGCCGTCCGTTGCTTCGAAAGACTGCAATCTTGTATTTCTTCCCAAAGATTAAGGTTGCACCGACTGGTTGGTTGAAGTTCCTTGGAGTGGTGCGGGTTGACCTCCAGGGGTCAAGCTGGATAATTTGTTTATTCCTTCGACATTGAAATGTTCGCAGGTGCTTGCTGCGTGGCCGTAATTAAAAAGCTGGATGTGGGGTATGGTGCCTGGCACCGTAACACCCGGGGTTCGGAGCGCCACCCGGCGGTGGCTTACGTACTACAGTCCTTAGTCATTAGCCTGGCACCGTAACACCCGGGGTTCGGAGCGCCACCCGGCGGTGGCTTACGTACTACAGTCCTTAGTCATTAGCCTGGCACCGTAACACCGGGGGTTGGGAGCGCCACCCGGCGGTGGCTTACGTACTACAGTCCTTAGTCATTAGCCTGGCACCGTAACACCGGGGGTTGGGAGCACCACCCGGCGGTGGCTTACGTACTACAGTCCTTAGTCATTAGCCTGGCACCGTAACACCCGGGGTTTGGAGCGCCGCCCGGCGGTGGCTTACGTACTACAATCCTTAGTCATTAGCCTGGCACCGTAACACCCGGGGTTTGGAGCGCCGCCCGGCGGTGGCTTACGTACTACAGTCCTTAGTCATTAGCCTGGCACCGTAACACCCGGGGTTCGGAGCGCCGCCCGGCGGTGGCTTACGTACTACAGTCCTTAGTCATTAGCCTGGCACCGTAACACCCGGGGTTCGGAGCGCCGCCCGGCGGTGGCTTACGTACTACAGTCTAGTGACTTAGTCATTAGCCTGGAGGAGGTGGGTGGGAGTCCTCAGCTTTAGTTGTCCGACGGTTGTCCGACGGCCTACCACTCCAAGCAGAAGCCTGACGCTTCGGCGTCTTAAAATTAAGAGCTTCGGGGATTCCTTAAAGAGCGAACTTCAAGGTCTCTCTAGGTCAGTGTAATGACGTAAGTCTTATTGGTGACGTTCCCTTTGCCGTGCTCTGTTATCTTTCTATTAGCGGTGCCGCCAGACCAAATGTAACGACCCGTCACTGTAGGTGCAGTCAGAGATACAGAGGGGATCACATAATGTTACGAGCCAAAAGGGTAAGGTAACCTCGTGATGTCACATAACCTCACTTGGCATAAGGACAGTAAGGACCAGAACGCATGTTGTGCTGGTCGACTGCACCCAGCCGTGTGCTTTGGATTTTTAGAGCTCTGGAATTCATAGTTGGGACAAAAAATGTGCATTATTAGAGCCACTTAAATTTGGCGAAGGTCGGATGAAGGATGAAAGGTTGGGGCAAATTACCTCACAGCGAGTCATCTGGAACATGCCCAGCGGCATGTCAGCTTATCTGATACTGAAAGCTCCTCAGCTCCCTGGTGTCTGGTGGTGGTGTCTGGTGGTGTCCGAGCTGTCTGCAGCCATTAGTAATACAAACGTGTGCATTTTGTCCACTGGCGGTGTTCAGACATCATGCATTGGTGTCGGTGAAGCTGTGCAGACCATTCTCGGACCTTCGGACGGACTGTTGGTGTTTGGTCTCGACCCTTCGGACGGACTGTGAGCGCTCGGTCTTGCTTTCGGACGGACTGTTGGTGTTCGGTTTCGGACCGTCGGACGGACTGTTGCTGTTCGGCCTCGGCCCCTCGGACAGGCTGTTGGTGTTCGGTCTCGGACCTTCGGACGGACTGTGAGCACTCGGTCTCGCTTTCGGACGGACTGTTGCTGTTCGGTCTCGGCCGCCTGGACGGACTGTTGGTGTTCGGTTTCGGACCTTCGGACGGACTGTGAGCGCTCGGTCTCGCTTTCGGACGGACTGTTTCTGTTGCTGTTCGGTCTCGGACCCTCGGACGAACTGTTGGTGTTTGGTCTCGGCCCATCGGATGGACTGTTGGTGTTCGGTATCAGACCCTCGGACGGACTGTGGACGCTCGGTCTCGGGCCCTCGGACGGACTGTGGGCGCTCGGTCTTGGACCCTCGGACGGACTGTTGGTGTTCGGTCTCGGCCCATCGGACGAACTGTCGGTGTTTGGTCTCGGACCCTCGGACGAACTGTGGGCGCTCGGTCTCGCTTTCGGACGGACTGGCGGTGTTCGTTCCCGGCCCCTGGGACGGACTGTGGGCGCTCGGTCTCGGACCCTCGGACGGACTGTTGGTGTTCTGTCCCAGACCCTCGGACGGACTGTTGGTGTTCTGTCCCGGACCCTCGGACGGACTGTGGCGCGCGGTCTTGCTTTCGGACGAACTGTTGGTGTTTGGTCTCGGCCCTTCGGACGGACTGTGAGCGCCCGGTCTCGCTTTCGGACGGACCGCTGGTGTTCAGTCTCGGACCCTCGGACGGACTGTTGCTGTTCGGTCTCGGCCCCTCGGACGGGTTGTTGGTGTTCGGTCTCGGCCCTTCGGACAGACTGCTTATGTTTGGTGTCGGACCCTCGGACGGACTGTTTGTGTTCGGACGGTTGCCGTGCGCCGTCCCGGGGGGGGGGGGGGGGCGGGGGGGGGGGGGGGGGAGAGGGGAAGCAGCGGTGGCGTCACCGCTGACCACTGGCCGGTGCGGCCTACCATTCCGATCCGCTCCCCGATCAGGCGCGAGCATATGTCGGAATCACCCCGTGTAATGGAATCCCTGTCAGGCACAGTCGGGAGGGCAGACGGAAAATGGGAACACATTTTGATGGGTGACATAGGATCCCAGCAGGCCTTGCGAAGCAATCTGGCGGAAACACACCAGTTTCTGAACCGCTTGACACCAAACCATTGACATTATTTTTTGTATCAGTGTTGAGAACGGGGAATGTTTATCTGAACCCGGTCCCTCCGCAGGGTATGGCAGAGCTCGATGAATACTTGTCCGTCCCCTGAGCGCGCCTCTGGCACCGCCGAGACGCCCGTCTGTGTACCATCCCGCGGTCACGTGTCGAGCTCGCGGCCCCACCGTGCAGAGTCGACGTCACTCAGTCGTTAGCCGTCAGCTGGCCTGGTCCACACCGTCGGCCAGTATCTACGCCGCCATGCTGATCCGCTGCCTGAGTGCCCTGGCCCGGACCGGCCTGACGCCCAGCCGCCTGACCTGCCAGGCGCGCCTGACACCGGTGCGTCGGTTCTGCCGCAGCCCGCCGCCGACCATGGCCACGTTCGGGCGCTACACGCACGCCATCGTGTGCCGCGTGCCCAACTCGTTCAAGGAGTCGGCGCTGGGCCTGAGCGGGCCGGTGGCGCTGGACGAGGCGCGCCGCCAGCACGAGGCGTACGTGCGCGCCCTGCGCCAGCTGGACGTGGACGTGATTGAGCTGCCCTCCGACGAGAAGCACCCCGACTGTGTGTTTGTCGAGGACTGTGCGGTTGTCTGCAACGGCATCGCGCTGCTCTGCCGGCCGGGTCACGCGTCCAGACGCGGCGAGGTACGGCGGCTGCGGGGAGGGGTGGGACGGGGCGGCTGGTGGAGGGGTGACACCGGGCGGCGGGGCCGCCGCACGAATGTGGGCGAGCTCGATGGGCCGGGGCGGGGTGCATGAGGCGTGGCGGTGGCGTCCGAGCCCGAGCACACGGACACTCGGACCGACGCAGGAGTTGCATTGTGGCCCATCGCATGTCGGCAGCCGGCGGCGGTCTCGGCTGACCGCGTGCGGAACCCTTCGGCTGTAGTAGACGGAGGCAACAGCTGGTGCTGGATACGGGCTAATCCTGTATGTGGAGTTGACAATATGTTCTCAGTAGCTGCTACTGCAGCGAGCTGCCTCGTGGTGCATACGGTACACATGGCCGTAGATGTGCGCGGATTTGTGAGGGAGCGTCGTGACGTCAGTGCGTGTGCTGTGTCGGCCGCCAGGTGGACACGATCCGTGCCGTGATCAAGAAGGAGCTGGAGCTGCCCATCGTCGAAGTTCTCGACCCGAAGGCGACGCTGGACGGTGGTGACGTGCTCTTCACCGGTAGGTCTCCGCCTCCCCCTCTCCTCTTTCTAGTTGTGAGCCGCGTCCCGAGGGAGGGGGACGGGCTGTGGTCTCAAGTCACCCATCACCCCGTCGGCCGCAGCTGGACACGGGTCTAGCCCGCGCTCCCCGTCTCAGGGTGTCTGTCTCTCGTCGTACTGGCGCAGGCGCCAGCCGCCAGTCAGTGCCAGCAGTACCAAGTCCGCCAGACGGCGCCGCCACGTTTCGTTGGGGTCCGGTCTTGATGGTGGAACGTCGTTGTCCGCGCACGTGCGAGTATCAGTGGACCTGGACTGCGCGGCCTGTGCATCTGGTCCCCGTTCTTCATTGACAAATGGAAGCCCATTCCCTACTTCACGGTAAGCCCATTCCTTACCTTTGACGTCACGGCCCAAGCCCATTCCCCACTTGGCCGATAGGCAAGGCAAGTACATTTGCGTGCACCGTTTCTACTTACATAGCGTCGCCTAACAACGGTCGACACTTTGTTGACGGTCGTGCGTGTCTAGCAAGTGGGTAACTCTCGACCGCTTGTGGACAGCGTTGTTGACAGCGATGTTTTTGACAACACGGCTTGCCAATAGCTGTGCAATGGAATCATATTCCAGTGCCCATTGCTGCGCATTATATGTCCCCATTGACCGAATCGGCTGAATCTACTTGCTGCCCACATTTCGACTCATAGGTGTCCTTGATAGACGCGTATGCCGCACTTACCAGATACGCTTGAGGCTGTTACTTTTAAGGGAGTGTTCCACATTTGTCTCGGGTTTTGAGCTGAAATAGTCATTTTGAAGATCATTCGGTGTAGTTCACAGCCCAGCCCTTCTTAAGATCTAAAACTCCTTAGTCCTCTGAATTGCACGCCTGCGAAGATGTACATACTTTTTCGTGCAGACTATTTCAAGGCCATTCAGGCATGTATGACGCCGTATCAACGTCATTGAATTGCTACCACCCCATAAGCCAGGCGACGTTCAAGGCCAGGAAGGGTATTATCGTCCGGCCTTTCAGATTTAGCGTCCGTGAGCACGATTTCCAACTAAAGTGGACATCAATTGGCTCCAAACTATGTTTGAGCAAACTCCACAAGTATCAATTACGGAACACGTTTTGTGCTGCGTATTATGTGAAGTTGGGCCTGGTTTCTTCACTAGCTAGTTATTACGGAAATAAGACCCGTAACGCCATACCAGAGTAGATGAATACAGGTATCTTAAACTGACGGATAGATATTCCAGAACACCTTGAGATGGGGCCAAATCACGAGCACATAACAGTATTTAGCTTAGCGCGTCCGTCCAGCTGTGCTGTCATCTCTCGACGAATTTGAGGTACTACAAGTAAGTGGCAATTTCGCGTGGCGAGTTCGGCAGTACCTCAACGTCATACATACGTTCCATGATGCAATCAAGCAGTAGCGTATTAAGGAGCATATTTACTACGTGGAGAAATTGTGTTATCTAGTTCAGCCTTTTCACTTAAAGGGAGTTGTTCCGCATATGAGGATATGGAAGCAAGCATCGGATATGAGGAAATAAGCTCACTTATAACTATTGGTATAATTTTAAGCGGAAAAGAATGATCTAGACAACTCAGTTTCTCTGTTAAGTGGATATGCTCCTGAATACACCATTGTTTGATCACGTCATCTTACCTTGCACAACGAGTGAAAGTCAATTGACGGCTGGTATGTCTGGAAATGGTGCCCAAGAGCGCCGGATATAAATGACTCGACAGTCATGTTTTCTTTGTGTTGATCGCTACATGGCTAATAGAATGGCAAAATTTCCATGACTGTTGTCATGGTGTCATGAATGCCTGAGTGACCTTGAAGAAGTCTCCCGAAATAGTCTGCACATCCTCGCGAACACATAGCTTAGAGACTAGAGGGATTTATGTTTTAGAAAGAACGGCTGTGAACTGCACCGAATGATCCTCAAGATGGCTATTTCAGTGAAAAATCACACACGAGTGTGGAACACTCCCTTTAATAGAAGAGTTTGCTTCATTGTATGTGAAGCGTGCTTCAATATATTCAAATGTAGGACATTCCCTTTCATGGGCGGAGCTTGGACCCATAACCCCTTGAATAATTGGATCCCGATGTTATGCACGTTCGCGCTGCCAAAATCGTCATTTATTGGTATGGGCATAGGGTTTCTAGGACTGAGCTGCTAGCAACAGTCCACCATGAAATGTGAAAAAGCGGTTTTTGCGCCAGGCTGTATTGTCGCAGAAGAACGTCTTCTGTGTTGTCCATGTGCGAAAGAAAACATAGAGACGTGACTTATCTGTGATTATGTTCGTTTGACGGCTTGCCTCATTGCATTGTTGAAGCATGTCATACGAAGCGAAAGATTCCCGGATGTCAACAAAAATCGAAGCATTCTACCATATTTATTCGGCCTTATCGTTGCCCACTAACCAATCTGTGCTCTTTCTCGTCACAGTTCGGTGCAGCCCTTGCACACGTGAATTGCCAGTCAAGCGATTTTGGTGCATTATTGGTGCACACGAATCACTACGAAGGATCCTTTTGGGGCGCACGACGAGCGAGGTGATGGTTACCATTGCCGATGCAGATGATGGCCAGAACACAGACCTATGGAGGTTGGCGTCGATGGGAGCCGGTGTGAACAGCAACATCAAAAGCGTCATCGCTGCTTTTTACTATACTCGTGACATGTAGTCAGTAGGCGGATCGACGCCGGTCTCGGGCGTCAGCGTACGCATGTACAACTGATATTACTAAAGCGGTAGTTAGCTCTGGGTCCGGATCGGCTTGACAGTTGTAATCGACGTGATTTATTTATCTGGAACACGCACAAAAGCATGGGGCGGTTGATACGATGGCAGCAGCGCGTGACGGACGCCAGCGTTGTCAGCTTGCGGCGTGCCGTTGCGACGCCCCGTTGAGACGTGCGTCTGCGCTCAGAGCGTGTTTTTCGGCTTCTTCGCGCGTGAAAAGCTCCGTTGCTCATACTGACGGAATTGGGAGGTGAAAATGCAGTGGCACGGTATTGTTTTAAGAACAGGCCGCCTAACCAAGCATAAACTTGAACATAAGCGCATTGGGAATATTACAGCACAACGCTCAAACAGCTCAGGTTCGTTTTGCTGAAACCCTGATGGCGTTGTGATCATCGGTTGCAAAGGCATAGCCCGTGAACAGCGCGGCGGGCCGGCACGCCCGGGACGCAGAGGCTGCTGCGCATTGGCCAGTTGATGCCGACGTGCTCTGGGTGCGGCCTCGCTCGTCAAAGTGCGCCCGAATCCGAGGTGCGGGTGCTGCACTGGCGCCGCACAGATATCGCTGCTTAGATTACGCGCTAGGGATAATTGTGTCTGACAACGAATGCTGCTCGTTTTCGGGCGTGTTTACTGTCAGCCATGGTGCACACAATTAACTGGCATAACTCTTGGGCGTTGTTGTTGATTTCTTTTTTTTTTTACTTGTCTGTTCATAGTTTCGGAATGGAAATGGAACAGTCCAGTGAATTATGCTTTTGGAAGTGTGTCGCAGGTGCATTCTCTCTTGAAGGACACTTGGAGACGGCAGGGGCAATGGTGTAATTAACGTCTTTCAGTTCGGTGGTGGAATGTTACAGCATATGACCGTTTAGTGTATTTCATGATTTGCCTGCAGTATGCGGCATTCGTTGACTCAGTTTGTTAAATGTTCATGTCGGTATGGTAGATCATATGCATACTTATGCAAAATATCCCGCCACAGAGCAGCGGGCACTCGTAAATTGGCCAAGTGCTGTGATCGCCTCCGGCATCGAGCTCAAATCGTTGTGTGCATTTCGATCGCCAGGTACATGGGACTCCGCATTCCTAGTCTCTGGGTCTGCAATTTCACCTCCATTTGTGGGTACCTCTGAAGAGACCTTTGGTTCACTCCAGCGGCGAGCTCTGGCTGATGTCAGCGCCATACGGCCACCCTAATCCAGTGGCGTCCAGCGAGCGGACGTCAGCAGCCACCGGAGCCGGCGCGAGCTGTCACTGGAGCGGCCCGGCAAGTGGGCCGGAAGGCCACGTCTTTGTGCCAACCGAGTGGGTGGAATGGGGTGGGCCGCGTATCTCGACTGATGAACTAAATCGCCCCCGGCAGAGGCGGCGTCAGCGCCTCAAACTAGGAGGATTAACAGACATTGGATGAACAGGCTGGGAGGTTGGCACGCGGCGTCAGCATCCCGCATTGGGGAGGTCGGTAGGCGCCCTGAAGGGGAAAGCTAACGGCAGAGGCGGTGTCAGCGCCCTGCATTACGAAGGTCGAGAGACGCACAACAGCTTGGCGTGAGGCGTTGTTGACACAGGCGGTGTCAGCACCCCGAATGGGGGGGAGGGGAGGGGACAGGGACACGACGACACGGAACTTAACCAGTCGACTGAGGAGGGAGGGCCGACGGCAGGGGTGATGTGCACCGGCCCGGAAAGGTCCGGCGTCGGTGTCGGGGTGTGCCGGTGTAACGGTCGTGCCGACCGTCCCGCGGCGTCAGCTGTACGGATCTCCTCTGCCGCACCGGACACGCCCTCAGTCGAACGTAACACAGCCGACGGCGCCTGTCCCAGATGGCAGCATATCGATAAAGCATCCTGTCGTCATGCGCCACCGACACACGTCTAGCCGGGCCAGCGCAGCGGCCACCGCAACGGCCGCCGCGGCCCGAGCCGCGCCGTCACCGACCGCCATAACCAGGCCGGGACGGCTTCAGATGATGTCAGGGGCGCAGGGGCGCAGTCAAATCCTTGTAGGGGCAGCGGTTCACAAAGCCCCTTCCCTCGATAAATTACCGAATTTGGCCCACTGGATTTCGAACGGGCACGATTTTTTCGTTTTATTTTCAGTTTTTACTTATCTAGCTGAAACGGGAGCCAGTGAAGGTACCGAAAGAAGGAATTCCGTTCGTATTTTGAAGTCAACAAACTGAATGAGTCGGGCGTTAAATGACTGCATGGAATAAACATCCGGCGATATTTTTTTACAATCATAGATCGGAATGGGATGGAACATTTTTATCGACATGGCCAACCCATGCTCGTCTGGACGGCACCGCGAACTGGTGCTGAAATCTGGTGGTGAACCTGGAAGAACAAGGGCAGGATATTCATTTTTCGTATTGCTACGATTGTTTATCTGTTCATGTGAGGACAACCTCAAAATCACACAGCTGAAAGATACGCCAGGGTCGAATCTTTTGACAGTACAAACGGATTTTAAAATGCTTTCGGAAGTATCTCACGACATTCGTTCTCGCGTCCGGCGCCCGCCGCATGGTGTTATCTGCAGGGGTTAAGGCTGTTCGGTTTTGCGGAAACTGCCGCCCTGACCCGGCTATTCTTGTTACTAAGTCGCGAGTACGCGGGATCAAAAGTTGCATTTGATTTTACAAGTCGATTCTGCAAATGGAAGGGCGGTCTCGGCAAACATGGAATGGCCTTTTTCTTTATTTTTTAACCTCATTTCGGCTTACTTTTTTAACGCTAGTGACACTTTTTTAACCTTTACCCTTTCTGGGCAAGGGACCCCATGCGTAGAACACAGGGGCGCATCATTGCTCCCGGCCAACGGTTGAAGGGCCATTCCGTCCCATCGCGAGGTTCCTTTCGACTGCCATTCTGGCAACGTGGAGCGGGGTTCCGTAGGCAATCTTGAGGCCCTTGGAGGGATGCATCATACATTGGTCCCCTCCTGAACGCGGGAAGCCCTCTGACCCAGGCACTTGACCCCAGATCGATGCAGGAGCCTTCCTTGACGCAACAAGATACCTTACCGCCGCATGTGGCCTAATAATTGGCACAGAGACTCCAGCGTGGCTTAACGGGGCCTTGCTTAAATGGTGTGTAGCGCCCCCCCCCCCCCCGCCGTGCCGTGCTATATACCCTGACTTACTCATGGCCCCTCCATCGTTTCATTGTGGACTCAACGTAAGCTCTCACATTTTCCTTCATTGCTAGAGGGCTCCAATCAACGGAAGGGCCGTCCGGAGTTCGGGGTCCAGTCCCGGTCTTTGTTCAGCAAATGTGGCCGACTCAGGATCTCTTGCCGACGCAGGGCCTCTGTCGATCACTGGGTCCACTGCCAACAAGGGGTCCTCCCTGTGTCAGGGACGCGACCAATGCAAATCGCTGGCCCCGGCGTTGGCCCTGCTCGAGAGATGGGCCACCAGGGCTCAGACCGACACGAAGCCTACCAGATCGGTGCTGGTAGCATCTGGCCGATACAGGGACCTGCATTGTCACAGGGAGTTCTCATTCGGTGCAAGAGCCTCTCTGAATGGCATTTGAGGTCAGGGCCCTACGGGCCGGGAGCCTCAATGCGACTAACAGCCAGCCCGCCGGGCCTGCAGCCTTTCAATTGGGCCCTGGATCGTCGGTCCCAAATGCCCCATCGGGCCTCTTCGAACATCGCCCCCTGCCGACTCGGAGCCCCTTACCAACACGAGACCTCCCGTGAAGCATTGTTGGCCCATGACGGACACAGGGCCCCTCATTGACTCAGGGCTGACCTGAGTCAGTGGGGGCCCTATCAATGATTGACCCACCTTTGTCCCTACTTGAGAAATAGACCCTCAGGCTCAAACCGACTGTTCGGTACTGCTAGTAGGCGTCCAGATCGGCGCAGTCTTCTGACTGCCATTTGAGGGCTCGGATCCTTAATATGACCTCCGAGAAGCTCTTTGGGCCCTCAAATCGGTCCTGTGATCACCGGTCCTGAGGGGCCCGAACCGAAGGGTCCGGAGGGCCTCTCAGGACCAAATGGCGGGGTTCGGGGTTGGGGCGGGGTCTTGCGCCCTCCGCTTACGTCACTGGGTGATGTCAGATCTATTTGTAATGACCATTGATTTAATTTATCGTTTGTCCATGCCGTTAATCTGGGGTGAAAAGTTGTCCTTGATTCCGATTTGTTTTGACATCTCGTGGTTTGATGAGCGTACTCGTTACATTTTCCACGCAATGATTTGCGTGGAGGACGGCAAATCATTGCTCGCTTGCTTGGTAGTTTTGCAATGGGGGTGTCAAAAATGGTGACCGCAAGATCGTTGGTCATGGTGATTCCTATCTTGGTAGTTGAATGAGAACAGCTAGGTGCACCCTATGGACTTCATTTGTCCCCTTTGATTTTGCCTTCGTTTTGAAATGTAGCATTCATTGAGCATTGTTTTGATTGTGCAATCGATCCTCAAACTCGAGCAGTGATCTCGATGTGCTGGGAGTGGCGGTGGCTGCTGTCCACCTGGCGTAGTTCGGTGTACTCGGGCGTGTTGTGACCAGTGACCTGACACTACCGTGGCGCGCGTCGCCGCCAGGGGAGTTCGGTGTACTCGGGTGTGGCGTGGCCTGACACTCCCGTGGCGTGCACCGCCGCCAGGGCGTGAGTTCTTCGTCGGCCTGTCGGGCCGCACCAACGAGGCGGGCGCGGCGGCGGTGGCGGCCGCCTTCCCCGAGTTCTCGTGCACGCCGGTTCGCGTGCCAGCCGGCGAGCTGCACCTCAAGTCGCTGGTCACAATGGCGGGGCCGGATATCCTCTGCGTCTCGGAGACCGACGAGTCGCAGACCGTGCTGAAGGTGAGACGGGCGGCGGCGGCGGACGAGACATCTCTGCCCTGCCGGCGGACAGGGCGAGGCTCCCCAGCTCCTCCCCTCCCCTGACCGGCGGGCTCGGGAGGGTGGGCAGTAGTAACACGGAGAGAACTGCTCATGCTGTGGACAGATGGACCGCGCGTGTGCACACAACATAATTCACACTGGTTTGGGCGTCCCATCCGCCTTGTCGGTGGGTGTTTCCCCCAGAAGACAGTGGGGGCTGGGCGAGTTGAAAAAAACGTACTGGATTTTCTTTCAATGCAGTATCTGCGGATGGTTCACACTTCCGCTCGTACTGATCTGGACTTCGCCGTCGCACCTATACCCTTGTCAGTGGGCTACTTTGCCTTCGAAAAATGCATATTCAGGGTTTGTGACAGTGGTGCAGTGTAATAAGTAAGCACTTAATAACAGTGCTCCACATACCTGACGGTTTTGCTCCCACACTTACTGTTGATCGTGGCTCGCGTATGCTTGTCGGGCGTAGCCATGCCTGTGGGCTCTGACCGGGCATTGCTGCTCTGCGTCCGATAGTGCTGCACTCCAGCGGGGAGATGGTATACCATTGAGTACTAACGTTACCGCCCGGCGGCGCTGCTGTCCCCAGCGCATCGAGCGGGAGGCGACGTTCCGGTACCAGACGCTGACGGTGCGGGAGCCGGCGGGTGCCAATTGCGTGCTCGTCAACGGCACTCTGATCCACCGGCCGCGCTCCGAGTGTCCGGATGCCTGTGACGTGAGTGTCTCAATGTCTGTAGCATAGGTGTCCTGAAGTCCGGAACATGTCAGGACGCTTGTGATGTATCCCGACGCCAGGGGCATGGGTATCCCAAGGTCTTCGACATCAGTGACCTGTGTGTGGCGCGAGTATCCCACCGCGTGGCACGTGTTAGATGGCAGTGTTGGCGGATATTTGGGGCACACTACAGAGTTGTGATATTTTGTGGCTATTTTATGACAATCGTATGATCTTCAAATATTGATGAAAAAGTGAAATGTTCCATCAAATGGGATGTCAAAAATCAAATGTTTCAGACATTCCATGATCCGTGTAATCAATTTGTATCCTCCCTGCTCTAAGGTCAGTCATCCGTACTGGCGCTAACTGGTGACAATGCCGCCCTGCCGGCCCGCCTCCCTGCATGGCTGAGCCGTCCCCTGGGTGCTCCCCCCGCGTACAGCTATGGTGCGCCGGTTCGGCGGCGTCGCACTGTTCTGCAGCGGCTCTCGGCGCCGCTGTGACGGGACCGGCGGTGCGGCGGCGTGTGACGAAAGGCGCGTCACGGCCGCCAGCCGTGACCGAGCGCGGCGCCGTCCGCAGGTGTTCGAGGACCGCCTGAGCACGGCCCTGCACCCGGTCTGCATCAGCGAGCTGGCCAAGGCGGACGCAGGGCTCACGTGCTGCTCCATCCTCATCCGCAAGTCCAAGCGGCCGCAGCTATGATGGAGCCGGCCAGCCGGACGCCCCGCTCAGTCTGCAGCTTCGGCGGTGTTATGTTCACGACCGGGCGCGGCTCGGCAGGCTCACACTAGAATCTCGCCTCGGCGTGCCCAGCACGTGGGCTCGCGAGAGTCCCGGTCAGTGCGCAGGTTCGTGCGGTGTGTTGAGTTCGCCGCCTAAATCCGTTCGTATTTTGCAAGGCGTTGCCTTTTATGTTGGTTGGCCAATGCCCACCAGAGCAAATTGATTTGCGCTAGCTATTGTCGGAGCGTTTGATCTAGTCATGCAGGCATGATAGCAGGTGTACTGAAAGAATCTCGTTTTCGTGAGGACGGCGCACCGCTCAGCTTTGTGCAACCCTCGGCGCGGTTGTCCCCGGCGAGGAGCTCGAGTCTGTCGACCTGCGTGTCACTGGATCAATCCCAACGAACGGCTTGTCACCCGCGAGTACGTGCACAAAGTCCGGCCGAGGAGCATTGCAGTCTCACGCGCGCTGCGCCGTGACCATCGTCCCGCGCCACCATCAGTGACAGTCACTGCTGCTTCCAAGCGGGATCACCACCCCGCCCGCCCGCATCGCATTCCAGCTCGCCGCCATGTCTGTGTCCGCTTTGGCGCGGGTGTGTTTCTGTATCGTCACCGTATGTTTAGTGGGCAGCATGACCGAGTTCTATGAATATAGCTTCAGACAAGTGAGCGTGTGGTACGACGAAAGGGAAAGGGCACGACAGGCCGGTGGAGGCAGACAAGACAGGCGAAGTTCTTGGCTATTCAGCGCCCATAGCTGGTACTTTTTATGCGGGGTTTACAAGTTGAGCAGATGTCCCAACACGGACAGTCCCTGATCAAAACTATCACAAGGCTGTCTTTATTGCGGAGCAAGCGAGGAAACGATCGCTTAAAATAAATCGTTTGAAAACCGATGGTTGTGAGACTAAACACACGGCCATTGTATTGTAAGCTGTCTCCAGAACTTCAGCAAGATATGTGGGAGCAAGAGCCGGGCCTAGAAAACGGTGACACTATAGCCTGGCAAAGGATCAAAACGTGGTCCACCATCGTAAGCTCTCCGCAGCGCGCCCACAATGTCTGCTCTTCTCCAATTGGAGGGGGCTGCGAGATGGTATAGGCGTGCCCAATGTGTATACGGCACAGCCTAACCCCATTTCACCTCCATCTGCGCGAGCATGATGCCCATGGCTTTATGTGAGGCTTTGTGGCTCCCGAGTACGCTGGTGCCGAGAGCGTCCCAATGCCTTTACCAGTGACGACGCGACCGCTCAGAAATGACCGCGGTCAGGAAGCGGCGGCGAGCGCGTGCATGGCACGAACGCTGCACGATTAGCCGCCGCATGTACCACCTCGTCTTCCCGAATTCCTACGTGGCCTGAGATCCGACGAAGTATCCGTTTAGCACTAGTAGTCTTGCCATCCTGCCGAAGTTTATTGATACGATTTTATTGTGAAATTATGTATGGTAATATAGAGTATGTATAGCAAACTATATAATTCTGTATAAGATTATGTTGAAACCTCTTCTAGCGCCGGGAGGCTTCTCAAAGAATCGGTAAAAATCACGCAACAACGAATATCACAAGTTTATGTAAAAACAAAGGTATTTTGGGATCGCCACGAGCTCAGAGGTGCAACCGGTTACACTCACTGGTAACGTAAATGATCTGGGTGGTTTTGGCCGATTCTAAATGCTCATCTTACCCACCATACCTACTGGTTTGACATCCGTTCATGTCGCTACGTAGTTTGTAAAGAACAGGACATCGCTATTGGAATTCATTTGGCAAAACTGCCCCTTTCGTGATGACAGATAGCGACACATCAATCTCAGGTGGAACTTTCCCGATGGGGGGGGGGGGGGTCATCTGATGTTCAACTCGAACCACAACTCGCAAATGGATCTCCCTCTCTTCACACGGGACACTAATCTCATGTAAACGGAACGGAGCGATGTATGTGACCGCCTCGGTACGGCGCCAGCATGCCACGTCAGAACGCGGCGGGGTATGTCGGGTGTTGGGCGAACTGGCGGAGCTTGCAGGCATCTGTCGTGCTGAGCATTTCAGGCCCCAGGTACAACGGTGGTTCGCATGGCCACCGCCTTGAGTTCAGAACGATTTTTGTCATTTTGAGGACAAAGACAGTGATATGAGCATGACCCGGCCGGACATACCCGACCACCGAATTGCTGAACCGAGGCAAGGTAAATCATAATAGCGGATGCGGTGGCACGTTACATACGTTTTAGCGTCTCCGGTTTGGAAGCCCGACACCAACTGATATCACCGGTCAGAGAACCTGCCAAACCTAACGTCCACGCTCGCCAGTGTCTGGCCAGTGCCAGTGGATTTCTGCATGCCGATGCGAAACGCTTCCTTCCCCTGGCGCCCGTGGCCAGCGGCTCAGGCACTCGAGCACCCGACTCTCGTCCACGCCTGTCATATTTCGTCGTCAGTCAGCATTTAGGCGGGGGCACCAATCAATGACCTGCCATCCAGAGGGCCGGCCACACATGACCGGTCAGCTGTATACCAAATACCAGCCTGCACCGCACCGATGAAGAACCGCTGCACCGTCCAAACACTGAACTCGCACACGCAGGTACCTTCTCAATTAGCATTGACACAACCCACATGGTTGAACGCAAGACAGTAAAATGGAAAGCAAGGTGCGCATAAATGGTATGAGCGAGAGGCATACGGCAGCCATCTTGCTAAAAACCGGGTAAGATTCTACCTTTCTTCTTCAGCTTCTCTACAACTTTCTTCTTTTTCTGATCTCTTCTGTCGTTGATGTTGCCAAGCCGCTTGTTTTGTCGCTGCTCCCTTTTCTGCTTCTCGTTTTGGATCCTTTCCTCCCACCGTTTCTCGCTCAGCTTCTTCTTCTGTTGTTCTCTGCGCAGACTTTTAGCTAGTAGCTTGGGGTCATCTCGAATCTTTTCACCTTTTGCCTTTTTCTGGGCAGTCTGCCAGGCTTCATTGTCATCGGCGCCGGTCCCTTGGCTTCGTTTCTTCGCCCGTTTTTCTCTGGCCAGGGATAGTTCCGCCTTCAAGCTCATTTTCTTTCTTTTGCCCTTCCCGGGATCCTCCGAGGAGGCAAAATCAAACTTGCTGAAAACCATTTTGCCCTCGGTGTTGAATACGGGCTTTGACTGCATGCCTTTACTAGGCAGCGCAGGCTTCGATCGTCGCTCTATCAATTTCCGTTTCTTCGCTGTCTTAACGGCATTTATTTTAGAGTTGACGGCTCCACCTTTGCCAGATTGTTGCTTCTGGTTCAGTTTTCTTTTTTCCATCTTATTCAGCCGCTTCCGAATATTCTTTTGTGCTCTCAGACTCCCACTCCGGGCTAAAACACGAATAGATGTGTTAGGATCAAAATGGCACGCCACAATGCGGTCTGACGGGCGGCATAGATAAGCCAAGGAATTGAGCAACGTAAAACACACCCAACAAAACCCACATCAGGACAGCGTCACGAATCTGGCCGGGCATTCCCTGCTTATGAATGGCAGTTTGTCGGTTGTGTCAGGCTTGCAAGTGGCACATCCACATGGAGGCGGGGCCCGATACGGTATGAGTGCTGTTCACTTGCACGTGTAACTGCAGAATGCCGATCAGCATCATACGCACAGCAACAGCACGATCAGATCAGCATCAGAAGCACACTTTTTCAATTTTGCCATCTTGTGACGAATAGGAAACGTTCGGTTACAGGGTTCATGCTTTCTATCAAACATTACCCTACAACTGCCCTCGCAACGGGCTTACTGCTCCATTAACGTCCATTACAAACTGGCCATCACGGAACGTTACGAGCGCAACAGCAAAGTATTTGCCAGTGTTACGGGCACGCCGGCGCAACGACATGCACTTTTACCCAAATTGTACTGCTATACAACGCTTCGTCATAACGACAATTATACCGCTATACAACGCTTCGTCATGGCGACCGGACTGAATTTTTACGACCAGCTGGCATGTGGCTTTCTGACAGCACTGATGTCCCAGAAATATACGTGTTCAGTACAATATATCGTTGCAGGCAATTTAATCGCCGTACAGTCAATTTCTCATGGGTGAAGGTCACAATGAATCAGTCCAATATTTTTTTTTTCCAAGTCCAATATCTACCAACAAGTGACAATATTACAAAATGTGGTCAAGGGGCAAAAGAACTTCCCCACCAAAGGGTAACCCACAGCCTTTTCAGCTATTTTTTTCAAGCAGCAACATATGGTTTATGGTCAGCATTCACAAAAGCAGATGGGGCAGCTCTGTCCGGCAGCACTTCCTACAGCTTCGTGATACTCTCTGATGACATATGTTGGGTCGACTTTTTCGCAATTACGAAAATGCCAGTCGTTAGACACATGGTAGAAAGTTTTGTTTCTACTCTTTTAGGGCCAAATCGGTCAGGGCTATTGTGTTTGGGCCTGATAGGATTGGATCCGTTTGGTCCCGTTTGTTTCGATGTGTTCGGCTCCGTTCGGGTCGGGTGGGTGGGGTGGGGTCCGGTCAGGGGAAGGGTCGAAGTTTTCCAGTCAGTCGTTGCCATTGTCATTGGGGCTTTAGGACGCACTCAGCAGCTGAGGCTATGTGACGTCGCCTGCCTCTCCTCCCCGGCAAGAAAGACGGGTACCGCGGGTAGTCTTATCTTGTCTATTCAATATACTTATCGACATTTTCAAACCAAAAAGGCGCCAGTCAAAGACAAAATGTGTTTCAAAGCAACGGATAGGTTTCCAATAATTACCTCCGCCTCACAAAGCTTTAGTTATCAGCTAAGAGATGGTGAGGGAAGCGCAAAAGAACAAACCTCTCAGTATCTGCAGTTTGGCCTGAAGCTTGTCACGCAATTCAGCTTGCCGATCTTCGTCAAATTTGGGAGCTTCATCTTCTGAAAATAATAAGAGGCTGTCAAGAAATGTGAAACAAGCAGGAAAAGGACACCACAATTCTACTGACGATTAAGCCACGAGGTTTTCAGCGCAGATGGAATCAGTCAAAAGATGTGACATTAGTTAAGAAATGTAATTTTTTGCTTATAACAAATTACGGCTAAATATTCCAAAACAACACTTCATGTACAGTGATATTGTTCTCCGCACACTGCTTCAGCCGCATGAACTGCGGCCCGTAATAGGATTGGGGCCAGAAGCGACACTTAGCAAGGCTGCATGTGCAAACACCGGCCTGGCCACTCCACTGGTCCAAACTGTGAACCTGCCTCAGCCAGAGAGAACCAGGGATTTTTGGCATCACACGCAATGCAACAACATAACCATCCAATGGTAGTTATATCCTAATTTCTCGTTTTCCTTGGGTGTGTCCAACCCCCACATGGCTGTTGTGCCCCAAGCCTATTGCATCAACCACACATTGCAGTATCATACTGCTACTCTAGACAGCACCCCACCTGGACAGCAACTTTGCAAAACTGTTGCAAGCAATTCAAACAAAATACCAAAGTAATCCAGCCTCAATGCACTATTCCTTAAAGGCATTAGGGTTTCCTAAAGATGCAGCAAATTTTTACTTACCATGCTCAGCTAGATCAGAATCATCACTCCCATATCCTGTCTTCAGTTCATTGGGTAAAAAGTTGAGAACCCGACAAATAAAGTCACTGTCATCCGTCAACATAGCTATGGCTTCTGTCTGGTCGCCATGGCTGGACTGAAAAAGCAACATGGTTATGTATGCCACAATACAAAACACAACTAAAATATGAAAACTTCAGGTTTCCCTTCAATTAAATAAACAAAAATTAGTAATACAGAGAAAACAGCACATCAAAAGCTATGCATCTTTATATGAACCAGTATGAATCAAAAATATTTATAATCCTGTCATTCTCCAGGAATTAAATTCTGCATGCTTTGTACCCACCAACAGTGCACCATACATCAGCTTATCACATTCCACAGTGACTCACAAATTGGGCATAGTTGGCTGTTCATGCCAATTACCATTAATAGAATGCCTGCTGTTAAAAGCTAATTTGGCATTGATGCACATGAAAGAATCACAGTTGAAATCATCTGAGCAAACATTGCAGTGCAAAATTACATTCCAGAAAGCACACAACCATGTCCATCGAAGCTTGTCTTTGTTAGGCTAGGTTGGATTATGATACAGGAATGGTAGGTCCAATGGGACTGAGGAAGCCCCCTCATTACTAGAGGCAGGCACTCAGTGTGGTTATCTTGGTGGCCTTGTATTCCATTGGTGTCCTTGCCAATGTTTGGTTAATATTCTTCTTGAATGCATTCACATTTGGTAACATAGCCACTTCAGCAGGCATCGATTTCATAGAGGCATAACCTGATGCAAGAAGACTTCTGGTTGCACTGAGTGCAAACATGTGGCTGCTACAGCATCAGGGTGTGTCTGCCAATTAGACCAGAAACATCAATGTTGAAGAAAGATTTGATATCTAGCTCAAGTGACTGATAGACTAGGATCATTTCCCCCTGCCTCTCCTATGGTACATACTTTGCACATGTACTTTCTCAGGCACTGCAGTGTAAGTACTTGTCTCTGCAGCAAGTTTGGTGGAATGCCTTTGTACTTGCTTTATACCATCCTGGTCTCCAAACACAGCTACCACACTTCAGAAGTGGATGAAGCCAATGCTGTCAACAGTCAGAACTGCAAACCATTGTACTACATTCAGTCCCACAATCCTGAGTCTGGAGACTGAGCACTTCTGTGATATCTTGCTGAATACCTTCTTAGAGTCCATGTGTATGGTATCAATGGAGACATGTTGGTCATGGGTCTCCCTCTCTCCCTCTCCCTCTCCCTCTCCCTCTCCCTCTCCCTCTCCCTCTCCCTCTCCCTCTCCCTCTCCCTCTCCCTCTCCCTCTCCCTCTCCCTCTCCCTCTCCCTCTCCCTCTCCCTCTCCCTCTCCCTCTCCCTCTCCCTCTCCCTCTCCCTCTCCCTCTCCCTCTCCCTCTCCCTCTCCCTCTCCCTCTCCCTCTCCCTCTCCCTCTCCCTCTCCCTCTCCCTCTCCCTCTCCCTCTCCCTCTCCCTCTCCCTCTCCCTCTCCCTCTCCCTCTCCCTCTCCCTCTCCTCTCTCTCTCTCTCTCTCTCTCTCTCTCTCTCTCTCTCTCTCTCTCTCTCTCTCTCTCTCTCTCTCTCTCTCTCTCTCTCTCTCTCTCTCTCTATTATTAGTTGGTCCTCTCTTGGCTTTGACAAAAAAAACTGTGTTCCATAGATGCTTCCCCAATACTCATATTCACTTGACAACACATGTAAACTAATAACAGTGAACAAAACCCTTCAGGAATTACCCACTAGCTTTCACATCTACATCTTCAGTAGCTTGGTAGATATATAAGTTGCTGTGCTTGTGCAAAGAATGTCATGCATATTATAAGACAGTACTGTTGGCCTTACTCCTTGTACATTAATCAGGAAAAATAATAAACAGATGCATTGATATTTTGGCTACATCCACATCTCCTATTCCTGTTGAACAAGACATATGGCCAAAATACCACAACATCTATCTCTCCTTTCTCATGGTTATTCTATGAGGCATGTGGCTAGTTTTAGTATCCCAACTTGGTAGAGAACAGACTTACAGATTTCTTCCTGCATCATACCATAAGTTCATTTTTCACATATTTATTTCTCATCCACACAATGGCCATTTTCATCAAAGCGTGATTGCACCATATGAACTTTGGATACAGTCTCTTCTCTGCACTCATTCACCTTTCAACAGAGCACACAACCTTAAAGGCAACTTTGGCACACAACCTTCCCCCAAAGATAACTACTGTTCCAATCAGTCACACATGGGCTCATGTTTTTGTCCTGTTTGTACACCATCCTCAAAGGCTGCCTTGGCACACAACATTTCCCCAATGACAACTACTGTCCCAAGCAGTCAAACATGGGCTCATGTTTTTGCAGTTTGTGCATCATCACTTTTGGCAAAAACTAGTATGAATTCTAAACATCCAAGGAAAAGAACATGTCTGAAGGCAGCTTAATGCATTCAAATTCATATGGTATGGCTACATTCCAAACATAGATCAGTTACATCAGCTGCCATGCAATTTTCCACATTAATAACAAAAATTGAGTGGCAGTTCAAATTCATGCAATGGAAAACACATCTATCTCTTCAGATGATATTTGCAAACATGCAATTAACAGACAAGTGGTCATATGGCCCAGAACAGGGCAATTATGATGCAGTTGAGCATAAGGTCTGACTGTCCTTGTGTATTAGTTTGTTTGAATGCCTGCTTTCCCTTCCACCCACCCTTAGAGGGGAGGGTTCCAGTAGCTTTGAATGCTCACTATTTGCCCTTGAGGAGTATGGCTTCTGGCAGCAGTTGTGCTAAAGGTCAGTTGACATCAGAAAGCAGGGTAGATGGTGCAGGGTAGGGAACACTGTGACATGTTAAACTTTCACCACCAACTTCTGCCATTGCCTGGGATTGCTCATCAGATGGTAAGGGTCAGGGCTCACACAACAAACACTGCTTAGCATGAGCTCTGATCCCAGAAATGCATCCAAAGGATTCAGATCAAATCTTTAAAAGGCCTATGGTATCTTACATAAAAAAATGGTCAATGAAAATAGTATCTGCAATATGCTTGGAAAAATTTTGCTTTCCATTTGGCTTCCAACCAACTTTCATGGTACTCTTCAAAATGATGCACCTAGTTTAAATCCTTAGAGATGATGCTACACACAAATGGCAATAGAATTTGAGAAACACAATACTGTGCCATGAACAAACATGATGGATATATTACGGCACATAACCTGACTGAAAACAAACATGGAATGCTATTTCAGAGATAAAACTCTTATCCTACAATATGACAGAATGTCTCAGCTTCCAAAATGATCATATTGTTCTGACACAGTTTGCAAACAGTGCATTTTACAAACAACAAAAAACAGCCTCCGGTTGGAGTCCCCACAGAGAGAACCTATCCCATGTTGTTGCCTCCTGTACCATTTGTTTGAGCTTGGATAATGGGAAACAAAGGGCACAACCACCATGAAAGTGGTAATAATGCCAATTTCTGATCAAGTGTCATTTCATATCCCAAAGTGCCCAAAAACCCAGTCCACCAAAAAGTTTAAACAGAATACCAATACCACCTACCCCCACATGACATGTGAATGTCAAGAATATGTTCTGAACCACCACCCAGAAAGAAATGGGGGCACTGCCAACTCCGAATGACACAACATGAGCTAGAAACAGCGTAAGACCAAAAGCAGAAGCAATTTGGAAGTCAAGTGAATGCTGGATAAAAGTACGCCTCCCCGACTGTATAGCACACTTCAAAAAGTTACTTACCCCTCTGAGTTTCCCCATGTCAAAGTTGAAGGTGGCTCGTGGAAAACAAACCAACATTTACGCCTTCTGGTCTTCTGACATCCTACAGCGCAGCCACACACCTACATTTATATTTGCCCCTTATCTTCTGCACCTCCCGCGTGACCTCGCGTAGCCAGCGTCCGACTCCAGACCCTAGAACAGAAGATATAACCGTCCGGCCAAAGTCCGCTGTTTCGACTGATGACGTCACAAGTATACTCGGCACGTAATGGTCAACGGCGGATGCACGCCTACCGCTGTTTACTCGGCTTTTTGAAAATTTTCTAAGGCTGGAAGCCGTTAAATATTTTTGGTTGGATCACAACAGGACTATTTCTTCTCCGAATAGGCCATAATATGAGCTCCAAGGTATCAAGGTCTATCAACACGCGCCCAGGTGGCCAGCTAGATACCATTCGCTCGGGTAGGGGGGGGGGGACAATTTGACCCTTCCTGAGGTATCGGGAACTAAGAAAGCTAGAGAAATAAAATTTACAGGGTGTGTTGAAATTTACGTTAACTCAGTGAGACCAAAGTTTGAGGTTCCTAGGTCATGACCTTCAGGTCAAACAAGGTCAAATAATGTCAAATCCCAGGTTGGACTCCCGAATACCCCAGAACCCAGGCAACCGTTTCTAAGCAAAACATCACACGCCCATTTGACGTCACTCACCTTTTTTGACCTTCTCAAGGTCATGGTGACCAAAATCATACAAAACTTCTGAGTTTTGCATTTGAATATGCAACAAACATTACCCTTGGCAGTATGCTCCTAAAACAAAATGTCAAACCTGGTTATCTTAGGTCAATGACCTGTTCTGACCTCTAAGAACTCAATGGATGATGTATAATGTGGTTCCTGCTGTCAATAAATTAGAAATGAGCACTAGAAGCTATTCCATGCAGCATGCCCTAGAGTAATAAACCAGGGTAGTTTTGACTTAAGTCTGACCTTCATACCTGACCTAAAGTCAACATAATTTGCTCATTCAATATTAGTGCTGCCTAAGAAAGCACCTAAGAGATGTATGGCTACATGTTTGCAGGGGTTGGGTCAATTGGCAAAAGTTTAGTTCTTCAAAAAGTACATGCTCTTTGGCTAAGTGCAGATGCTGTATTACAAACACAGTGATGCTACAATGGGGTCAGGTCAAGTTCATTCTATAGGTTAGCATGATAATTTGGTGCATTCATGCAACATATGATTCAAAATATGTTCACCCATTCTGCTTGCATTATGCAGCTTAAACATCAGATATAATTCTTTTTTCTGGTCAGTGCATGCTCAAAATGTTGGTAAGATGCCAAGACGAGGTAATACGGGGTCAACATGACACGTGGTAGGCTAGTCACGTCATACATGTTTTGGACGGCCTATCCCACGGGAATCCAATAAAATTACTTTTAATCTTGCATCGGGTCATGTTAGGTCCTAAAGAGATCAAAAGCTGCTGTTTGCCAAATCCTTCTCTGACCTTTGAAGGGCATTCAATAGCCATGGGCAGGCTTGGGAGATTTATTTTCAACCTGCTGTGGAAATAGCTACCACTCAGCTCATGTGTTGTTTCAAATGCAAATTTCGTAATTTGCAAATTGGTGGAAGTTTTAATTTGCCAGCAATAAAGGAAAGCAAACTATTTTGTAACTAGACATTGCCCAGTGCACAGATCATCTTCATTTATGCATGAATAACACATTCTAGCATGATTTCCTCAATACCAAGAGCAGCCACGCAATTTCCTTATTCTAAACATCAACAACAATGGGGGAATAGGTAAAAGACCTAGTCACAGCATCGCACTCCTATGCAGCATGCACAGTTCTTACTACTGGTAGCTTGTGGCTAAGATGCTTGTCCAATATCCATGCCATCACATCCTCGAGGATATTTAATACGTATTGGTACTAAGAGGTGAAACGGTGTTTAGTACCGATACGTACTAAAAGAGGCAGAGTTTAGTACGTATAGATACTGAACAGAGCTGACCGGTAACCCAAAGCTGGCCAGAGGAAATGAGGCTGTGTAGAGGTGGACGTCGTGAATTTCTTTTCTTTCGATGGAAGTAGAAAACCTTCACCATTTTGGGATCTCAGTTCTCAGTTTGAATGCGAGTTGCTCCTAGTACGCGGCAAGGGTGCGCGGCGAGGTCGGTCGGTGGATGCCTTGGTGGTTGGTGGGGAGCAGGGGCAATACAACACCGGGTACTCCAAAGTTTTGACTAGTAGGTATCGACACATACTATAAGTATATCAGAATCGGAATTACCACCAGATTTAGGATGTTGTAACAAAAGTTGGCAGTGCTGTGCTAGCGGCATCTTTGGTTTGTTTGTTGCGATTAAATGTAATCACATTTCTCAGTCGCAAAACACTCGAATATGCGCCCTAAACCAACAACAACAAAACACTCGAATTGTGGTGCGGTATTGGGGATGGTGGTCGGAGGATCAGATTGTGTTCAAGTAATTTCAGATGCCTCTGGGCTATTCAGATGTATGTTGTTCTTTGCCAAGTCTCATTGTATCTCAGTTTACATATAATGACTCATTTAAACATTCTGCAGCAAAACTTCTATTGTAATGATTCAGTTACTGCACAACTTGCCAGCTATGAATGTTGTGGCCTGGGCTACCGGCTGCTGAATGCTTGTGGAATGCTGCATGCAAAGTGATTGGCCAAGGCGTGCTCAGGTATATTTATGTTGGAGTTAAGGGCCATGTTATTTTTTAATACATGAATATTGAGATTGTTGTCCTATTGGCATTTGAATATTCCACATAAGCATTGATGTCCTTTCTCCACAGTTGTGTTACCACCCATGAAATGGGCCAACCAGTAATTATGTCAGTTCAGCACAGCTGTGTGATTGCATTAGATGTGTTTATTAAGACATGAAAGGCACTATAATGTAATGGAAATGTTTGGTATGATGCAATGTTGTGTTGTGCACATACCTGATATGACATTGCACCAAAGGAGTTTCTGCCTGCACTGTTTAGAAAAGGTCATCTTATGTCAAAAATTGGCTGAGTTTTCTGGCATAATTTAACTTATGCAAAATCATAAGCTATATTATATTTATAGCTATATAAGCTATATTATGTATACAATAAGATATATAAATCATTTATTCCAGATCAGAAGAATCAATGTGTGTTGCACATTGGTGGGCTGTGCTGAGGGCCACCCTATCTCACCTCCACCTAATATGTGTTTTTCATTGTGTCTGGACACCTCATTTTGATTTAAGGCAATTTAAAGTTGTAGTTTTGTGTCTTTCCTTCAAAAGTCCAGCCAATACCATCAAATAATGTCCAAAGCAGGTCATCATGATGTGAGTCACTTTAACCTTAGTTTGTTTTGTTATATATTCTAGCAGCAATATGAAAAGGGCAAGCCAATATTTGCTAGTGCATTTCAACATTGTTGGAGGAGGCCGCCATCGCGAAATGCAATCACTATGCAACTGCATGCAGCATAAACCCAGGCATTAAACAATAACCTGTGCTTGATAAATGTATCCAATGTAAGCAGCAAATGTTGTAGTTAATGTATTTAATGGGTGCACTGGTTTGTGTTTGGTGACATTTATAGAAACTGATGTTTTGTGTCAAATATTGCAATATTCTGAATGTTAGTTGTAACCCTGTCCTCAGCACTGTATCTGTTACACATCATCATTGCATAATTTGTATCAACACAATTTCCTTGTGACAATATGAGCAAATGTTGAGCACAAGGTGGTACATAAATATTATATAAATACAATATGTTCCATTTATATAAAAATGTGCATAACTGGGGCATGATTTGGGACAGTCTAAGGTCCATTGATAGTTTGTATTGCCCTGAGCAAAGGCTGCATATGTTCCAGATACTGATGCACCTTCTAAAGCTGCCCATTTCACTTCAGCTGCTTAAGTGTACCTTTCCTACTCTGAGGTCAAAGGATGAAAGTTAAAGTTATCAATTGCAGGGCTTGATGAAGAAAAGAAAAAAATATGCCATATTGAAGTTTCAAATATTTGTTTTGCAGGTTTTATGATGTGAAAGCAAGGTTTTTGAGGTTTATTTATTCAGTGGAGCCAGTGATAAAACATTTGTATTCACCTTATGCCAAAAACCCTTCATGCAAATGGTTTTAGGGATCATGGTTACTTAGGCCATAGGTCTGTCAGGTGTTTAAGCTCTTCAAGATCAATCAAAGAAGTTTTATCAATTTTTCCATATCAGGGCCTTTGGGCAGTACAGCTCACCATTATGGCACTTATTATAATGCTTACAATCCCGCTTTTAAGCACAACTGCTTCCCAATCAGCGGTGCTTGCAATGTTACTATGCTATCATTGCTGTGCTGGTCCTGAGGCAGCATTGCCGGCCCTGCACAACAGTGGCCGCCAGCATCACAACTTAAGAACCTAACACAGTGCCTGGTCCTACCTCTGGGCGCGTTGGATGGCCAGGCTTGGACCGCTACCGTCGCGGTAGGTTCCATGCGTCAGGCACAATAATGCTATGCGCCCCAGCCATAGGCTGTTGCATGTAGCCCGACGGCTGCATGGCACCTGTCAGGTATATTTGATGAACATAAAAAGATATCATGTGTATTTCTTGTAATAGCTCGCAGCACACTTCACAGCACAGCATATGCATTTTCAGACCATACATAATATGCATATATATGCATACCATATATATATATATATATATATATATATATATATATATATATATATATATATATATATGTAACGCTTCGTTAACTTGGTAGCTGCCGTCCTGCGTTCCCCTTCCGAGAAAAGAAACTCCGATATTCTTCTGCCTTGAGCCTTCTTTTAACGACGTGCCCCCTCCAACGCTGACCAGCGCGATCTCCCCCGCGAAAACTCGCCGGACACCGACATCACCTCGGACAGCTCTGCAGACCTCCGCGGAAAGCCACGCGCTCGCCTATTGGCCAACGCTTCCCGTTTCGTCTGCCGACCCTGAAACCAGCTGTTCACAAAACCTGAGGCATAAGTGGTGCACAACAAACTACATCGTCTACCGCACATCACAAACAGCTGACCTCGTTCTTCGTCGATAATGCACCTCACCTAAACGCTAAACTTGGTCCAAACATCCCCCTCACCTTAAATTAGACGTAGGGTACGTAAAATAACCTCACTTGGTACAGTACTGTAACTTTCGACTTCACAGTTCACAAGGTCACTGCACATCACAAAAAGCACGATCATCAAACTTCCACAAATCAGCACAATGCCCATGTTAGGCGAAATAACCCTGTACCCCACAACTCATCACGTATAGGTCCCTGACTAGTCGAGGTACCGCCTCGGTCGTCGCACCTCACGACCATGTCTCGTCCGCGTTGACCCGGTTACCACCGGCATCGCCTCTTCCGCCGACTCCGTACCAGAGGGCGCCACCAACGCTTCACCGTCAGCTCCAGAGGGCACCACCTGACAGGGCGACTTCTGTGCTAGCGACTTCGGTGTCGCCGCTTGCTGGCCTCGTTCCACTCCGCCCCGGTCGTTCATCAGCTTCCTGCGACCATCCGCCTTCTCAAGTGCGTCACTAGGCGCTGATGTCTCGTCGACCGTCGCGTCTCCGGCCGTCACCGCGACCGGCTCCAACTGCTCTGTCTGGCTGAGCTCTGCATCGTCCGCTTCTCGTTCCCGCTGCTCCGTCTGACTGA